GTGCCTTCCGCTACGGTAGGAATCCCTTTGCAATCTTCCGCAGACGGATTCTTCATATGTTCCGCCACGCAAAAGGATTCCCTACGCATTTCGCAACATAAGGAACCCCTGAGAAAACAACCATGGACACATTCGTTTGGATTCAGCCACAGAAGGAATCTCCGAGTGATCCACCACGAAAAGGATCCCTTATTATTCCGCCCCAAGGGAATCCTTCAATACTGCGCCACACAAGGAATCCGTTTTGTATTCCGCCACAAGGGGGAACCTGCTGTCTTGGGCCACCCAAGGATTCCCTGTGCATTCCGCCACAAAAGAATATTCTGTTCAAGGGTAACATCCACCATGGAAGGATTATCTTTGCATTTCGCTACACGAGGATGTTTCGATACACATATATATATACATATATATATATATCATACATATATAGTACACATGTATACATTGAAAAATATGTAAAACGAAATAACCTGCAACAGAGGAACACCGTTGGTATTCCGCCACGGCGGGGGTTCTTTTGTATTCCGCCGCAGCGGAACCTCTTTGTACTCCGAATTTGATATTCTGCCGTCAAGGGAAGGGGCGCCTCAGCCGTGCATTTTTTGTTTTTCCCCTCCAATTTGCTATGTCGAAGATCTCCCCAATTCCTGTCAATATTCCTAACATTACATGCGGCTGGGATCATTCGGCGGAGTAGTTTCCGATCCAGGAGACGTTAGTAACTCTCCGCGCCACACCATATATATGTATGTATGTATGTATGTATGTATGTATGTCTGTATATATGTATATATATACACCCGTATCATGGAGCGGGATGCGATTGCGCGCGGAGTAGTTGTAGTACCACTATTCCGAACTACTCCGCACGAGCGCGTCATTCCAAAAGGCAGATTGAAAGAACTTTTCGTCACGGCGATGTAGGGGTTCCTTTCGTGGTGGAGCAAGCACAGAAGGGTTCGTGTGAGTGGACATGGCAAAGAGGTTCCTTTTTGAGTTTTTGAGGTTCCTTGCGTGGCGGGTTGGGACAAGGTATCGTTCGATGCTTCGTTTGGGAAGATCGTTCGATCCGCCCAGGCCTGTATCGCGCCTTGCGCTCCTCCTCCTCCCGCTCCTCCTCCCCCTCCTCGTCCTCCTCCCCCTCCCCCCTCTTCCTCCTCCTCCTCCTCCTTTTCCTCCTCTCCTCTTCCTCCTTCCCCTTCCTCCTCTTCCTCCTCTTCCCACCCCCGCGTCCTCCTCTCCTCCCCTCCTCCTCCTCTCCTCCTCCTCCTCCTCCTCCTTCCTCCTCCTCCTACCCCTCCGCCTCCTCCTCCTCCTCCTCCTCCTCCTCCTCTCCTTCCTCCTCCTCCTCCTTCTCCTCCTCCTCCTCTTCCTTCTCTTCCTCCTCCCCCTCCTGTTCCTCCGTAGCCATTTTGGCTCCAGCTCGCCTCAGGTCCCCTTGGTGCGCCATGTTCCCGTGCGGCACGTGGCGTCGGGAGCTGGCTGTTTGAGGAGATGGTTCTGCGGGGCGGCATGGGCGATGCATGCCAGCGGCCCCGCAGTGCAGCGGCCGACCGTCGGGTGCGGCGCGAGTGGGCCAAGGAGAGCACGGGTGGGCCATCATGAAAGTTGTCGGGCGAGCTGCAGCGCTCGCGTCTTCAGCTCCAGGGGATGTAGGCCTCGCTCGCGGAGCTCTTTGGCAATGGCGAGCTCTGGGGCAGATCCTCGCGGTCGCCCCGACCTTGTCCGCTTTGCTGGCCGAGCAGGCCCCGGAGCATTTGGATGTGCTCAGACGGAACGTCGCCCTACATGCGCGCGGGAGTTGTGGCTTCCGCTTCTCCGCTGCGTCCGCCGAAGATCTGCGAGGTGCACAGCGCGGTCCGCGTCTAGGCCGAGCGGCTGCGACGCTTCCTGCTCCAGAGCTGGAGGGCAAGAGCCACTTCGTGCTGCGGGCGGAGGCCCCCGCCTTCGTCCCCCTCGGCCTCTTCGGCGCGGTCTTGCCCGACCGTTGCGAGGACCAGCCAGTGCGGCATCGTGCAGGTGCCGACGCATGCCGCCATCTGGTGCGTGCACGCGCTGGCGGAAACCCCGCGGACGGTGGCCGCAAGGAGCCAGTGCGGCAAACCTGCGCTGGGTTCGGCTGGTTGCTCTGCTGAGTGGCCGCGTACGCGCGGATGTCAGCCCCCTCTTGAGCGACCTCCCCCCTCGGGTTCTGACGCGGGCGGGTGGCCGATGCACGCGACGGGTACTGAGGATGCCAGCCCAGCGGCCGTTGACGGGCGACGCAACGACGTGGACGAGGAGGAAGGCGACCCCTTCGCAGACCTCGGCCAGGATGTCGGCGCCGAAGCTAGCTCGGAATACCTGCCGACCATCAGGCTGGAGATGGATGTGGCCTGGAGGGCCATTGCCCATCGGCAAGTTCAGGCGTCTGCGGCCGAGGCGGGCCAGGCCAAGCCTTTCGTGCCGTGGAGGTCGCGCTTGGACCGCGCCGCTCTGGCCGAGACACAGACTCAGTTCGAGAAGGCTGTGGAGGAGGAGCTGGATGACTCGATCATGCAGGTCGACGAGTCCTCTGGCGACCAGCTGGATATCGAGGATCGCGAGGCCGAGCTCGAGGAGTTCGCATGCGCACGTGTGGGCACCAGACGGGCCAGCCTCGGTGTTCTGGCAACGGCGGGAGGTGCGAGGGTTGCGGCGCCGTTCACGAACCAGCCCATGGCAGAGGACACTCTGTGCGTCGCGCAGCTGCCCCCTCCTGCAGCTGCCCCTCGCCACCATCAGCGAAGAGGCGGGCACGACGTGCTTCGAACTCAGCACGGCCTCGCGGCGCGTGCGCTGCCCGCTCTGCTCCTCGTCGTCCGTCCGCCTCACCCCGTCTCTTCGTGAAGGATTCGTCTGTGAACTGCAACAGCATCGACCGTCACTCGAGGATGGCCGTGTGTTTATGCTGCACGGCCGCGGTGTGCATGTCATGCTCGGCGGCGAGCGAGGGGGGGGAATCGAGAAGGAGAAGGGCTTCTCAGAAGGCGGTGGGACTTCTCAGAAGTCTTTGCGGCTTCTGAGAAGCTTTGTGTGTCTTCGGGGAAGGCTGAGAAAACTTCTTCTCAGAAATCCGGGGGACTTCGAGCCTTCTGAGAAGGCCCGCCCCTTCTCACTTCCCCCCCTGGCTCGCCGCCTACATGCGCCCACCAGCAGATGGAGGCTGCGGGGGTCGCCGTCGTACCATGGGGATGCTTCGAGATGGCCTGCGAGAGCAACAGCGACAAGCAGGCCATCGAGAAAGTGGCCGACGACGGGAAGTTCCACGTGGACTTCTGAGCCGCCCCCGCGGGACACTACGTCACCCTCACCAGGTTCCCAGGTTCCTCCTCCTGCTCCTCCGCCTCTTCCTCCTCCTCTCCCCCCTCATGCTCTCGGCCCTGCTCCCTCCTCCTGCTCCTGCTCCTCCTCCTCCTTCTCGTCTTCCTCTTCCTCTCCCCCCCTCATGCTCTCGGAGGGTCTCCGTTGCCCTCCCCTTCCCCCCGAGCGCTGTCCGTGGCCCCATCCCTCCGAGGTGCCGGGGCAGACAGCTCACCTCCAGTGGCGCGAGGATCGCCGCGCCTCCGCGCGTCGCGTCCGGGGGCCCCAGGGCGGCCGCCCCTCTCCGGGAGGGAGGGGCGAGCGAGTCGCGCGCGGCGCATCGCATGGCGCGCTGCGCGGAGTGACGCTCCTCATCCTCCTCCTCCTCCTCCTCCTCCTCCTCCTCCTCCTCCTCCTCCTCCCCCCTCCTCCTCCTCCTCCTCCTCCTCCTCCTCCTCCGCCCGCCGCGCTTCGGCGCGGCACGCTTGTCCGCGTCCCCGTCCCCAGGCATCTGCGTGCCGAGCTCTGCCGGGCCTCCCGCCCCGCGGAGGAGAGCGGCACGCCATTCGGGGGAGCGTAAGACCCGGGTTTGCCGGGACTCGGGTTCGCCATTTTTTTTTTTGACGACCGCGACTCGGATTTTGACGAGGAGGAGTTTCATGGGATGTTTGCAGCGGGAGGCCTCGTCAAAATGCAGGCTCGGCCTCGTCATTTGTTTGACGACCTCGTCGGGGATTTCCGAGTCCCCCGTACAAGGGTCTTACGTCTCCCCGAGAGGAGAGCGGCACGCCATCCGCTCGCACGGCAGGGCGTGTCGCAGCTGCCGCGGCCGGTCGCAGTTTTCGGACGCAGGTGACCCAGACGGATGAGCAGCTGGGATCTTGAAGGGTCTCGCTGTTGCTCGGGTCCTCCCATGGTTGCTCCTCCAGAGCTCCTCGTGCTCGCAGCCGCTGTTGCCCCCCCCCCCAAAGAGGGTGTCGTTCCTCGTTTGGCGCTCCGCGTGGTAGCAGTCAAATTGTATTGGCAGTGGTCGCTTGGACCATGTGGGGATCACACGCGGCGCCATTGTCTTCTCTTGGTTTCTCCTCCTCCCTGGTCGTCTCTTCTCTTCAGGTCTAGTTAAATGGGCGCATTGGTGCCACTTGCGACCGCTTAGATTGCCAATGTGCTGTTCCCATCGTTATGCGTGATGTGAACATGCACATGCACTTTCTGGAAACAATCTGGTTTTGTGACTTGTGTCGCTCTCAAGATTTTCCAAGCGCAGTGGACCTCCCCAGTCCCAAACACAGTCCTGTGACACACGGCCTGTTGAGGATTTCTCGGGGATCCCCAAACGTTGCTGTGACCACACCATGCGGTAGGTATTCGGGGTGACCCCCACCTTCTCTCTGTAGAAACACGACGGGAGGTTTTGACAATTGTCGGCCTCCTGGGTCCCTCGCCAGGCCGTGGGACCGATTCCCCTGAGGGTCGACGTTGTGAACACAAAAACCACGCCATCGAAGCTCTGGACAGGCAGTGGGGTTTCGGGGTGACCGCACGACTTTGGGATCGGGGCCGCTCTCCGAAGATGTCTCGGGCGACTGGGGCCTCCAGGGCCTCGAAACCGTGCGATGACGGACCGTGCGGTCAGGTCATTGGGGCTTCCGAGGTCACCGCGCGGTCACCGCACTATTTTTGGGTTTGGGCGCTTGCCGTAGTGGGACCGTCTGTCGCAGGCCGGTTCTGGGGGACACCCTTCAAACAACTCTTCAAGGGCCCTCGGGATCGAGCACCTCAATAATCTTACATTGAACCCTGAGTGATCTTCGAGATCGAACAGCGATCTGCTCGAATAGCAGGACATGTGCGCTTGCAGACCGACGCCACCGATTCAGCGTGGCAGCCGCTCATGTCCTGTTCGCCTCCTTGTGTCCACTGGCCACATCATCGGCGGATTCCATGCTAACCTAACCTCACCACTTCGCGTCTCTCCGCCAATCTCCTCGTGTTTCTACGTACCTGTAGATGCGCCGCATCATGCCTCACAGTCTGCTGCACAGTGTCAGCATTTTTTGAGAGGCGCTGCCATCCAAACTGCAGCATGTCTTACGTGCATGCCTCGAGGTGCAATCGTCTCTTTTGCCAAGCCAGTACCTGTTTGCCCGTCGGCTTACTGAGTGCCACTGGCAGGCAATTCGACTACCTCGAATCTCTCGAGGCATTCCGCGCGCCTTCACTTGGAGCAGGGTTGGGGGAGGAAATGGGGGAGGATGGGGCGGATAGGAGAGGAGGACGAGTAGGAGGAGGCGGAGTAGGAGGAGGAGGAGGAGGAAGAGGAGGAGGAAGAGGAGGAGGAGGGGGAGGAGGAGGAGGAGGAGGAGGAGAGGAGAAGAGGAGAAGAGGAGGAGAAGGAGGAGAGGGAGGAGGAGGCTGAGGAGGAGAAGGCGGAGGAAGAGGAGGAGGAGAAGCAGGAGACGGAGGAGAAGGAGGAGCAGAGAAGGGAGGCAAAGGGGCAGAGGCAGGGTGGGCGAGGGCGAGGAGTGCGGGCGAGTGCGAGGAGGAGGAGGAGGAGGAAGCGGATGAGCAGGGAAGGGAGGCAACGGAGCAGAGGCATGGTAGGCGAGGGCGAGGAGTGAGGGCGAGGGCAAGGGGGACGAGGGCGAGGGCAACGGCGAGGACGAGCAGGACCAGTTGGAACAGGATGGCAGCGCAAGGAGGATGCATAAGATAATGATAATGAGGACAAGACGTATGATGATCATACTGATGATGATGACGTTGACGATGATGAGGATGTTGATGCTAATGCTGATGATGATTGATGATTGGTGATTGGTGATAGGTAATGATGATGGTCATGATAATGATGATAATGTTGATGCTGAGGATGCTGATGATGCTGCTGATGATGATAATGACGACGATGCTGATGATGATAATGATGCTGATACTGCTGACGATGTTGATGATGCTGCTGCTGATGATACTGCTGACGACGATACTGCTGATGATGATGCTGATGCTTGTGATGACGATGCTGATGCTGATGCTGCTGCTAACGATGATTATACGGATACTGGTGCTGATGGGGATGCTGCTGCTGCTGATCATGATGGTGCTGATGATTCTGATGATGATGATGCTGACGATGTTGACACTGCTTATGATGATGTTGCTTAGAATGCTGAGGCTGATGATGCTGATGATGTTGTTGAAGATGCTGATGCTGATGACCCTGACGGTGACGATGGCGATGTGGATGATGGTAATGTTGCTGAGGACGATGATGCTGATGATACTGCTGCTGATGATACTGATTATGATGATGGTGTTGATGCTGGTTATGATGATGCTGATGCTGAGCATGCTGACGACGATGATTACCATGCAGATGATACTGATGACAATGGTGGTGATCATGATGCTGATGCTGATGGTGATGATGATGATGCTGATGATACTGATGATTAGTATTAGTATGCTGACGTTGATGAGTATGTTGATGATGAAGATGATGGTGATGGTGATGATGATGCTGATCATGCGGATGATGATGATTGTGATGGTGATGGTGATGGCGATGATGCTGATGATGTTAAGCATGATGATGATGCTGATGACGATGATGGTGATGCTGATGATGATGCTGATGATTATGCGGATGAGTATGCTGCTGCTGCTGATGATGATGATGCTGATGATATTGATGATGATGGTGGTGGTGATGATGATGTTGATGATGCTGATGGTTGTGATGATGATGATGATGATGATGATGATGATGATGATGATGATGATGATAATGATGATGATGATGATGATGATGATGATGATGATGCTGCTGATGATGATGATGATGATGATGATGATGAGGCTGGTGCTGATGCTGATGCTTATGCTACTGCTGCGTCTGATGGTGATGATGACGATGATGAGGAGGAGAGGGAGCAGGAGGAGGAAGAGGAGAAGGAGGAGGAGGAGGAGGAGGATGAGGACAGCACAGCCGCGCCCCACCCCCAGCCAGGAACACCACTCCCGACGTGGTGATCCTGAGTTTTTTTTTGGGGGGGGTGTTTGTTTTTTGGTTTTGTGGAAACGCTCACCTCCAGCCAGGACCCCTCGGATCACTAGGTCAAGCTTGGATGTCCTGGCTCGGGGTGGGGGTGGGTTTGACTGTCTTGAGTTAAGGAGAAGGAGGAGGAGGAGGATGAGGAGGAGGAGGAGGAGGAGGAGGAGGAGGAGGTGGAGGAGGAGGAGGAGGAGGAGGAGGAGGAGGAGGAAGAGGAGAAATGTGGAGAGCAGGAGGAGTGAAGGAGGAGGGATGGCTGGCGGGAGGGCGGCCCGGAGGTGGGAGCAGGGAGTGAAGCCTTTGAGTTGGAAAACCGTAACATCGACCCTCCTTCGTGCGTCCGATTGTGTATATTGCAGCTTCTGGCATGGTCGCAGATTGACCCACCAGTAATGCATTTACCACGTTCTGCCTCAGGGCTTTCGCCGAGAGCCAGGCGCCAGGAGGTGGGTGACGAGCTGACGTGGGAGCTTTGGGTGACCGCTGTTGCGACAGGAATCGCAACATTTGGAGAGCTTCTCCACAGACTCTGACAGTGTCAGGATTCCTGCATGGACGCCCAGAGCGTTACTAGCCCATCTCCTGGTTCCTCCATCCTCACTCATCCTCCTCTTTATCCCTCGCTGTCGTGGTCCTCCTGTTCCTCCGCCCTGCGTCCTCCTTCTCCCCTCGTCCTTCTCAACCCCGTCCTCTCGATCTCCCCCCCCCATCCCGCCTCCTCCTCCTCGTCCATTCCTCGTCCTCTTCCTCCCTCTCGGCGTGCTGGCAAGTTACACGTTCTTGCCGCCGTCCGAGGCACCGGAGATTCAGGCAAGCACTGCTCCAAGCCTCTTGGCCCGGAATCGGACAAGCACAGCGAGCTGCTAGGAGTCGGCAGTGCTGGAGGTAAACATGTCAGGAATCGTGGTAGGCTTCGGGGCAGTGAGCAGGCGGCCCACCGGCGACGGCCCAGGATGACCGTGAACGCCAGGCTTAAGTCGGGCACGTCCCTCTACAGGAGGAGTATTCAAAAAGAATCAAACAAATAGTCTGGGAACGTTTTTTTTTTGCTTTTGTGTTTTGTTTGTAGAAAAGCAAACAAACAAAACATCTCGTCCAACATCTGCCTGTAGGGGGACATGCCCGACCTAACGCCAGGGAGGGAGCCCGAGTCGGTAAAATCGTCAGGTGTGGCCTTATCCTTTCTCTCACCTGTGGAGCGATGTGCCTGGTCGGGTCCCTGGCAGGCTCAGTAGAACCAGACGGCTGGTGGCGGGCAGTCTCGAGGGCGACACGATCGGGAAGGATCTTGCTCTGTGGTTGTGGCTGCGCCTCGTCGACGCAGTCATCGAAGCTACTTGCCAGCCAATCTTCCCAGGGGCCAGTGCGGTCTTCGACGACCAGGCCCTGCAAGATCTCGAGGCGGGCTGGAGGCAGGCTGGCAAGGTGCTCGCTGCCAAGCCCTTGGCGAATCGTTGGAGGCAAGTATGTGGCCCAGCCTCGGCCGTCCCTGCATCCCTGAAACGGCTGGGGTGCTCTTGGCCTTCCTACTTTAGGGCTGGACCTAAACGCTGTTTTGCTGGCCTTCGGCCGTGCTTTGGTTTTCTTTCTTGGCAGGGAGGTACAGGAGATCAGGTAGAGAACAACGAAACACAAAGCGACAGTACAACAAGACACAACGTTAGGTCCAGCCCTGTCCTACTTCTCCCTCCTCTAACCCTCACGGGGACCCGCCTCGACTTCTGGCCTCCTCCTCCTCCTCCTCCACTTCCTACTCCTCCTCCTACTCCTCCTAATCATCCTCCTCTTCCTACTCCTCCCCCTCCACGAGCCTGAGGGTCTGGTGCCTGCCCGCGCGGGGCTCCTTGAGTCCGCCCCGTGGGCTCTGGACGTCGGCTTCGACCTGTCTCGGGCGCGTTTGGCACCCAGCCTTGCGGCCGGCAGGCAGAGACGAAGCCATCCAGGGCGTCGGCAGGCGATTCTCGCGTGCGTCCGTCGGCCCTTCTGGACACGCGGCAGGCGGGGGAAGGTGGGGCACGGCGCTGCGGTCGCGAAATGCCAGCTCCGCGGGGCCCCGCGGAGCACCTTTCCCTCTGTTGTGGTTGCACGGGCCTCGGTGCTGCACGCGATGAGGCATGCAGGGAGGTGCTTTTCCTCGTCCATCGTGCCGAGAGCTCCTCAGAGTCCTCCCTCATCTCCGCCAGGGTCCTCGCGGTCCACCGCGCCGCGGACCCCCTTTTTAGAAAGGCCAGGACCACTGCGAGCGCCTCAGCCAAGAGTAAGGGGACTCTCCCCTCTTGGCCGGGTACGGCAGGTTCGCGTCGTGTCGACCGGCGGCGACCCCATCGCGGGCGTTTAAGGTTGAACGCCGCCTGTGGCCCAGAGTCGGCCAATCCTTGACCGAATCGGCCTCTTTGAGAAGGCCGATCGTTCAAGTTTGAACAGTCCCCGCGGTGTCAGGAACCAACGCCAGGGTCGACACGACGCGAACCTGCCGTCTGCTTGCCTCAGGGGCAACGACAGGGGGGGATAAGCATAGGAGGGGATGCATCGACCCCCAATCACCCACTGATCTCTGATGCGGGCCCGATGGCCCCAACCTGCCCAGGAAGGTGCGGATCCACTATCGGAGGCCTATCGCCGATCTATCGGCGATGTACCGCCGATTCCAGGTCGATGTTTGCCTCCCTATCCCCATCCCCCCCTGTCATTGCCCCTCATTGCCCAGGCGGCTCAGGGACAGGCCCCCCGGGGTGCAAGTCCTGCGGTGCGGAGTTCGCTCTTCTAGGAGGAGGAGGAGGAGGAGGAGGAGGAGGAGGAGGAGGGCGAGCAGCAGTAGGCGGACAGGGAGGAGAAGGAGGAGGGGGAGGAGGAGCAGGAGGAGGAGGAGGAGGAGGAGGAGGAGGAGGAGGAGGAGGCGGAGGAGGAGGAGGCGAAGGGGGAGGGGGAGGAGGCGGGTCTCGAAGAGGCGGAGGCGGAGGCACTCCAGTGGGCCTGCGGCTCTCAGACATGGGCCGCCGAGCGGGGGCCCGGTGGCCCTCGCTGGCAGGTGCGGGCGCCGCGGGCGCGCGCGCCCCGCCCCCCGTGAGCAGGCATGCGGTCAACCCGCGCAGTGAGGATCCAGGCTTGAGTCGGGCACGCCCCTCCACCTCATGAGCAGTATGCAAGAATGGTAACGACATCATAGTCGGGGGTTTGATTATTTCAAGCATGTTTGGAGTATTGTTCGTTGCTACTGTCCAGTTTTCGCCCGAGATCCGCCTGTAGGGGACACGCCCGAACTGAATCTAGGCCTCCGGGGTCGGAGTGAAAGTGGTCGGATAATCTCGCCGCATCGCCAATGTGTCTTCGATGCGTCTCGATGTGGAGCCCGATTTGCGTCACGTCGACCTCGTGGATGCATCGCCGACGTCGACGATGCGTCACCAGTGCATCGCCGATGCATCGCGGATGCATCGCCGATGCATCGGCGATGCGTCGGCGATGCGTCGCGATCTTTCGGCCCCATCTACTCGGACCCCATCTAGGAGGCCGCTAAAGGATGAGCAACCTTCCCACGGTTACCCTTGCATCCTTCCCCTTCGGCCCATCCTTGGTCGCTCTCGCTGGCCTTGCCCCGCTCGCAAAGTGTCGGCACGGCCTTCCAAGGCCCTCGCATCCTTGTTGAGCGTCTTTCTGGTACGGGCTGGCTGTGGACTACATCGCTGCCTACTCAGCCACGCGCAGAGTGGGTATGGGGGAGGGGGGAATGCTTCTTAGAAGCAGCCCCCGCTGATCTAAAGGCGCGGGGGGTCTGTAGGCGCGAGGGGTCTATAGACGCAAGGCCCACGCCTTCTGAGAAGCAGCCTCCCTGCAAGAAGCCCTCCGCCCCCCACCTAACAGCCCCTTGTGCGCGCCGCCAACTCTGCGGAGGCGTCCGGCGGTAAGCGGCCTCGCGCGGACCTCGGGAGCAAGGGCTCCCTCGAGGGCGCGAAGTTATTCGCGCTTCGCGCTTCGCGGTCCTCGTTCCTTCTCCCCCCTCCTCCTCGTCCTCCTTTTCTCCCTTTGGGGGGGCGGCGCGAGAGCGCGAAGTTATTCGCGCTTCGCGCTTCGCGGAGCGCGAAGCGCGAAGTTGGGAGCCCTTGGTGAATTACCTGCCCCGCTTTCTCTTCCGGGCAAACACCAAGTCACACCACGCGCCTCCTCGTCAAGCGGCCTGACCAGTAGAGGCCGTAGCTTGGCATCGCTTGGTACCTCTTGGAAGCGGGGGTGGTAAGTGACCAGTCCAGGCCGTAGTTTGGCATCGCTTGGTACCTCTTGGAAGCGAGGGTGGTCAACAGCGAGGCAGGTTAGTTTGCCCCCTAGATCTGGGCTCACACTTCCGATCCGTATGATGAGCCTGGTGCGCTCGAAATCGTCGAGGTGAAGGCCCGCGCGGGGCCTCCGAGTTGCTTGACGTGCTGGGCGCGGCCGCGATACGCAGGCGGGCCTCGCGGTCAGCGCCGGGGCCTCGTTGCACTGCTTGCCAGCCTGGCTCACGGAAGTCTGGCTTGAACGTGCCACGGGTTCGGCTGGTACAGTGGGGGCGCGCATCAATAAACCATCTGCTTTTTCGTCAGGGTATCCTGGGCGGTTTCTTCGCTCCTCGCGCTGCGCGGCGACTTCCCGCAGCCGTTGAAGGAGCTGCTGCGTTCAGGGTGCTCCGGGTTTCCCCTCAGGTGTACCTCGCGCACGGGTTTTCAGGGTTGGGTTTCTTGCGAGGGGTTTCTTGCGGCCGCGCCCGCACTGTGTGTGCCATTTTGTCGCCAGTCTCACGGTGCCTTCAGGAGTTCTTTGTAGACACCGCCGGCCGTCAAGGTCAATGGTCGGGGGAGTGCGGGCGAGGCGGTGGGCTCTGGATCTCCCTGTGGGACCTCCCCTTACCTCCTCCTCTGGGAAAGCAAGGCACGTCGGTTCGATGCTCGTTTCGGGGATCTTCATGGAGCCCACCTAACGGATCTGTTCGACCCCAGTTCGACTCAAGTTCGACTCAAGTTCGACTCAAGTTCGACTCAGGTTCGACTCAGGTTCGACTCAGGTTCGACTCAGGGTCGACCCAAATCGACTGACGTTCGACGCAGCTTCGACGCACGAGTGGAGAGAGTGGCTCCAGGAAGGTCCCCAGAACGAGCATCCAACGTCGGTGCCAGAGCTGGGGGCTCTGGAATCCGCGCCCGCTCCCCAGGGCAAGAGGCCCTCCTGCGGGCGCCCTGTCGGCAGGCGCCTACGAGGGCTGCCCGCTCTTCGCCAGCCCCCTCGCCCCTCTCGGCCGCCACCGGGGCGCCGTCACTGAGGGGAGGAAAAAGCACACAGACACAAGTAATCCTCGATTCCTCAGAAAATATGGGAAAATATGGGAAGTGGGGGGGGGAGACAGAAACGCAGAACATATGGGAACATATGGGGAATATTTTTATTTGTGTGCATTTATTTGTGTGTTCTGGGGCCCCTTCAGTCACGCCCTCCGCCGGTGGGTCTGACAGACGTGGCCGGCCGAGCCCGCTGCTTCCTAGGCCAACTGCGGGAGGGGGAAGCTTCTGTGAGAGTGCGCGGAGGGGGGGCGGAGCCTCTCACGCCGTCGGAGAGCTGCCGCCGTGCTCGCCCCCTTGCAGACGGCCCAGCACGGTTTGGCACTGGCCTCGTGAGGTCGGCCAGGGTGTCCGCGTGCGCACCGGGCGTTCTGGCACCGCCGCCGTCTGGTTTCGCGACCTCGGTTAGCTGCGTCGCGCCGTGTGGGGGTGTCTCGTATGTGCTCCTCCTGCTCCTCCTGCTCCTCCTTCTCCTCCTCCTCCTCCTCCTCCTCCTCCTCCATCTCCATCTCCATCTCCTCCTCCTCCTCCTCCTCCTCCTCCTCCTCCTCCTCCTCACTCCTCCTCCTCACTCCTCCTCCTCCTCCTCCTCCTCCTCCTCCTCCTCCTCCTCACTCCTCCTCCTCACTCCTCCTCCCCTTCCCTCGCCCGCCTCCCGTCAACCCCTCTCCTGCCCCGCCGCGCGGCTCCCACACCACCGCTTCGCGTGGGCCGCGGCTTGTGGTCGAGCCTTTTCGTGCGACGCGGAGGCGGAGGCGGAGGAGGTGGAGGAGGAGGAGGCGGCGGAGGCGGAGGCGGAGGCGGAGGCGGAGGCGGAGGCGGAGGCGGAGGCGGAGGTGGAGGAGGAGGAGGCGGAGGCGGAGGCGGAGGTGGAGGAGGAGCGGGCGGAGGCGGAGGCGGAGGCGGAGGAGGAGGAGGCGGAGGCGGAGGCTGAGGAGGAGGAGGAGGAGTAATACTAACAGTATCAAGAAGAAACACATATCAAGCATTACAATACCACGAATACCAAAAAGCATGATGAATCATATAAGCACTACTAATACTCATACGAATCATATTAGCAATACTGCGCATACAAAGAAAGTTAGCAATACTACGAATACGCCACAGACTGATCATAATATGATTCATGATACTCTCATAACTATATAATACTATTGCGACTAGTACGAAAAATGAGAGTATTCCGAATATTCAGAAGGAGCCGACGGTTAATAATACTGATACTTTCATAATAGTAATAATGATAATAATAATACTGCTAAGCCAAATAAGAAGGACCATCCTAATCACAAAACCATCATACAACTACCATCAATCATGACACTGATGATGATAGTAACTTGAGAAGCAGAGGAGGGGAGGCGCAGAGGAGGAAGAGGTGGAGGAGGTGGAGGAGGAGGAGGAGGAGGAGGAGGAGTCTCCGCCCCGCTGCAGGTGCGCTTCCCGTGCGCCGGCATCTGCCACCGCGGCCTGCGCCTCTGGGGCCCGGGCCGCGGCCAGGAGGCTCCCTCCTGCGGCCTCTTCGTGGCGGAGTGGATGGGCGCCGCGCACACGCAGGCCGAGATGGTGCCCAGGGGGGGGTGGAATGACCCTCAGTCAGAGGAGGCGCAAATGCCAGTACTGGTAAGTCGGGCGTGATTCTTTACAGGAGGAATATGCAAAAATAGTCAAACATAGTCCGGGGACGATTTTTGGATTATTTCCGACTTTTAATGCATATTAGTTTGCTTTTTTGTGTCTCGTCCAAACTCCGCCTGAAGGAGGACACCCCAGCCTAACAGTACTGCTGCTCGTCCTGAAATCGAGAAGAAACACGCCGTAAGCATAAGCTTTTGGCGCTCCGCGCGGATTGCCCGGATCTGCGCTGGGGCCCCACCCTAGCGGCGCCTCCAGCGCCGCCCTTGGCGCGCTCTGCGCGCCAGGGAGGGGGTACAGCGCAGATCCACGAAATCCGTGCGGAGCGCCAAAAGTGTATGTTTGTGGCGTTTTTTCTTCTTCGAGGTAATGCTGCTCGTCCTGGAAAGCCCCTCGTGACCAGGGCTGGATTCGTCTCGAAATTCTGGTCGAGGGCAAGGAAGAGATGCATGAGCGGGTATCCTACTCTGCTCCCTACTTCCCACAGTTGCCTGGGCTGCAGCGTGTCATACAAGTTTCCATGTCCCACAAGACCTCGCACCACGATAATCCTTGCAAGTTCGCCATCTCTAACTGGGTCTGCCGCAAGAGGGCAGCACGCGAACAGCTGGAACCAGCTATTGCCTTATCCCAGAACTGGACATGCTCATTCGACCAATCTGCTACCTGCGGTCTCCTGGTCCGAGACCAGACTCTATACAGTGCCTGCGTTAGTGTGATGGGCCTGTCAGCCTCCTCAGACTTAAACAAACATTGCACCACATTGACGAGAATCTGCTCTGGCCAGGCGAGGGATTGCTCGACGAGGTTGAGGAGGTAGTAGAGGTGAAGGAAGGGCTTCTTGCGGCAGCTGGCTCAGCGCGGATTAGTCCTGTCTACTCCCATGCCTACGACTGGCTTAAACACCTTGAGTGCCTCCAGCACTTCAGCCAACGAGATCGGCTCTAGGGTGTGTCTATGCTGTTTGGCCGCGCTGCGAAATGTTGGCCACCACTCCTGCTGGTAGTGCGGAGGCATTTCTTCTACTTGCCAGAAGCCTGCACAGTACTGTTCTTTACTGTGGATATTCAGGAGGGGGTCCACTATGGGGCCTCCTGCATGATCTTTATCGCTGGAGAGCACTTGCTCAGGCGTTCCCCACAGCTTGGTGTGGCGGTGTGCTGCTCCCGCTCCTTTCTTCAGGCTCTGCTGGACCCACCCCTTGAAACTGTGGGACCGGCTACTGAGGTGGTGTCTCTCAATCATCCTGACCATGTAATCTACAGGTTGTACAAAGCGCTTGACTTGCGCAGCTGGTGCTGAGGCTAAGGTAGTCAGCTGCTCTTTACACTGGCGGAGGAAGGCATGATCAGCTTGCTCCTTCAAATCCGCTGGCCTCCCAAGGAGGTCCTCCAACAGTTGGCTAGCCGCCTCCACCGCCCCACGAACCAGCCCTCCCTCCCGACCCTTAGCTAATAGGCCTTGCACAGAATGTAAACGAGCTTGCATTGCCGTCCACATTGAGAGGCAGGTCTTCTCTGCCAACCAACCTGCCGGCTTGGGCGTCTGGAGCGGCACTACGTTCGTCTCTGGACATGCGCCCCCTATTGGCCTCTTCTAGCTTGACTGTTTCCGCTTGCCTACTGAGAAGCAGGTGCTCGGCTGCCATGGCAAACTCCATGTGCACATGCGCTGGACTGCCGTGGCGGGCCTGGGCCAGGGCGGGGTGCTGCATGCCGCGCTCCACGCGCTGCTGTACAGCCGTGAGGTGAGCAGGTGCCACGGCAAGTCGGGGCCACAGGCTAGGACTACCGGCGGCGGCTGCAACAGTTCAGAGCCCCGAATCATCAGGGGTAACTCGGGTCAGGGCTAACTCGGGTTCGTTTTTCGGGAATCCGAAACCGACTTACCCCGGACCCGAGTTACCCCGGATAATTCGGGCGTCCAGAGCCCCACATCATCAGGGGTAACTCGGGTCAGGGCTAACTCGGGTTCCTTTTTCGGGAATCCAAGCCCGAGTTACCCCGGACCCGAGTTACCCTGGATAACTCGGGCGCCCAAACAGTACTCTGGTCATGACTGGCTCTGGCGGCAAACGAAGTTGTCCTACAGTGCCAAAGTGGGGAGCGGCCCAGGGCCCTCTCATGTCCCGCTCCAAGGGAAGCAGCCTTGACAGCTGCTCTGACACCAGGCAATCGTCGATGACCCTGTGTCCTCCTGGCTGCTCCGCTGGTGGCCTGCGCCAGGCCGCATTCAAAAATGTGGGGCGATGCATGCGCTCGAGTTCATCCTCAGTCAGGTTCCAGTCTGCCACTAGAACAGAGAGCAGGCCCTTGGCCTTGAGGAAAGATGCTACACTATTGAGCGTGTCAACGTTCGGGCCTGCTAATCCTACTTCGACTGTCAGATACATGGAGACAAAAAAGATCTCTACGCCTTGCAACCGAAATGAAACTGCTGTCCACTGCTATCGCTCCTGCAGGGGGGGCTGTTGCGCCCTCCAGGCTAGATGCTTGCGGACACTGAGCCAAACTCCGCCGTGACCTCTACTCCCTGCACCTGCCGTGGGAACCGATGACACAGACTTAGTGGCCCAGCCCAGCTTGGATATATGTTTCTTGCTCTGGTTGAGGCGAGGACCTGACAACTGATGCTCGGCGATACCCCACACGTGTGCTCGCTCCAGAGCACCTGCTGACTGTTTCTGATACTCCGTGCCCTTGTCATTCCAACTGGTGACGTTCGCGAAATAGAAGGTGAAGCCCAGCTGGCTCCTGCTCCCGCCTGCAGTGGATTGGCCTCTGCCATCGCTTCCAGTCTCTGCAGGCTGCGGTCCCTTGCTTCGGGGCGCTCCAGGCTCTCCCGTCGCAAGTGCCTTTGGGGGCTTGCCTGCGCTGCATCCCAACGCGAACTCTCCAGGCCCGCGGTGCAGACTCCCAGTGCCGCGGGCCCTGGTCGGCGATCGCGCCGCCACGGCTGCCCGGGGCGGCTTCCCTCGAGTCGCCAAAAGTGGAGCGGCTTCCCTCGAGTCGCCAAAAGTGAAGTACTCGTTCCCGTGCCGATGCCTCCGCCTGGGCGCTCCTGGGGTCTTGCAGGGCGCTCTCCAGGGATCGTGGGCTTCGCATGGGCCGTCAGCGGGGCACTGCTCCTGCATCCCAACGTGGTTTCCATCCCACGGCGCCAGCCTCCTACGAGGTGCGTGCATCCCGCGCCCATGCCGACGCTTTCCGCCGTGCCAGGCAGGGGGCCAGTGCCTCGGAGCGCTCCAGGCTCGAGCGTCGGCTGGGCCTTTGAGGGCGTGCTGACGCCAGGGCCATGCGCCTTCCACCGCTCTCCGGCGGACATGGCTCCCTGGGGCGCGGACCCTCCAGTCGCCGAAATTGAAGTGCTCGTTCCCGTGCCGCGGCCTCCTCCTGGGCGCTCCTGAGGGCTTCCAGGACGCTCGCCAGGGATCGTGGGCCGCGCATGGGCGGTATCACTGCATCCCAACGTGGTGTCCATCCCACGGTGCAGGCTTCCAGTGGTTGCCCAGCCAAACTGTTTTGCAGAGCCAGCGATCCGCGGATGTCCCTCAACTGCTGCGCCGTAGTCGCTTTGCTGCCTCCGCTTGGAAGAAACCTGCCATGGCATTGACTCGCTCATCTTCTGGCGTGTTCGGGTCCCACTGTGCCATAAGCTCTCGAATGCGCTTTGCCGTGTCCTCTGCACCGACGTCCATGTCCTCACTTGTGGTGTCTCCCTCGTGCGGCACTGGGGCGGCAGCAGCCCCTGCAGTGGTAGCAGGAGGAGCAGGAGGGCCACCAGCACGCCCTGCACTCGGCGCGTTGCCTGGGCGCGGTCGCAGCGCTGCGACCTTCGCCAAGGCCGCTTGGGCTGCCGTGGCCACCGCACTGCCGCCACCGCCCGGGATGTCCCCAGCCGCTGCCTGCCCCTCGTCGGTGTGGACGACCAGCTGCTGGACCAGAGTGGTGAGCCTGCCGATCTCCGCCCAGAACTCCTCTCCGACGGGCGCTGGGGCTGCGGCCGGCGTGCCGCCTCCGACTCGGGCTGCTGCCGCGATCCTGGCCTGCTCAAGGCCGGCGCGCGTCTGGCGCCGCAGGTCCTGGGAGTCCACCGCTTGTGCTGCAGCCTCCAGGGCGGCTTGCTCAGCGCGTTCGGCTCTCTGGGTCTCCTGAAGTACCCTGTGCTGCGCCTTGGCCACCTCCTGCGGCAGGCCCTTGACTGGTCTGGGATCTTCCATGCCTGCTGCTCGCCGGCGGCGACGGTAGAGGATCTTGTCCCGTTGGCTCCTGGTGAGGATCCCCGCGAGCAACCCAAACTGATCCGTCGCCATGAGCACCCAAGACTCCATCTGCTTGTCGTCGAGGACTGGAGCAGGCGGCATGGACGATGGCTTGCCACGGCCTGGCTTGCCACCGTTGCCACCTTGCGTCCACGGCGGCTCGGCCGCCTGTCCTGGCCCCCAGGTCCACATCCCTCGCTGCTGTGGGCGTGGTCCTGGGGCTGGGCGTCCTCCATGCGCAGGGTTGTAGCCGCCACAGTTGAAGCAGCGCGCCTTGGCCCCGCGGTTCCACGCATTGCACGCGCGACATCCCCAGCCCACCATGGTTTGAGCCAGGGACTACGGGGTGCTCGAAAGAAGAGACTCGTGATGACTGGCGGGCGAACGCCAGATGCCGAAAACAAACCTCGTCCGACCAGGTCAACGAGGCGTGACTTTGGGGGCCGTCACTCCCCCGCACCGACAGCAGGCCAGGTCCTCTGCCAAAACACTACGGACTTGAGCCATAATGGCTACGGCCTCCTCCTCCTCCTCCTCCTCCTCCTCCTCCTCCCCACCGACGGGCTCTGGGGCCATCCACGGCGACCACGCCGTGCAAGAGGCCCCCGAGGGCGCCTCCAGAGGCCAAGATCATTCGTCTTCCTGGGATGTTTGGGAGGTCCTCGCGTTCTCGCCTTGGCGGCCATGACGGCCCAAGCAGCTTCCAAAATTACTCCGGCGGGCGGACCCCGCAGAGAAGCCTCCCGGCCAATCTGGAAGTGACCCTCACCGTCGTCCTCGCGATTCGTGAGCGCCCTTACCGTCTCCTCCGAGTCATGCTCCTTCTCGCCCCGGCGTAGGCCCTCCTCCCGATCCCTGCGCTGCCCCCTCCTCGCCTGCCTGCAGACTCGCAAAGATTCTCCGCGGATCCAGCCGTGTCGACAAAGAGGCCACCGAAGTAACTGAAGCTGTTGTTCAACAATCGGGGGAGCGTAAGACCCGGGTTTGCCGGGACTCGGGTTCGCCATCGTTTTTTGACGACCGCGACTCGGATTTTGACGAGGAGGTGTTTCGTGGGATGTCTGCAGCGGGAGGCCTCGTCAAAATGCAGGCTCGGCCTCGTCATTTTTTTGACGACCTCGTCGGGGATTTCCGAGTCCCCCGTACCCGGGTCTTACGTCTCCCCGAAACAAAAACAGCTGCTGGCCACATCCTCCTGCAGCAGACGAGGCCAGGGGCTCACGCCACACAAGCAGCAGACACGATACGACAACTGCTGGCCAGAGGCTCGCGCAGCTGACGAGGCCAGCGGCCCACCTCTGTGATAAAAGCACCCGAGTGAAGCGCAGGACTTGCAGAGATTTTCCGCGGATCCTGCCGTATCGACAACGAGGTCATAAAACATAAAAAACTGCTTTCGGACATCCTTGCAGAGATGCCTCGCAGATCCAGCCGTGTCGACAACGAGGCCACCGAAGCAGGTACAGCTGCTGTTCAAACAGCAGCTGCCGGCCTGGGGCTCCTGCAGCGGCGTTGGTCAGGGGCTCACGTCAAACACAGACACACCAGACGCAGTATGACACCTGCTGACCAGAGGCTCACGCGGCTGGCGAGGCCAGCGGCCCACGTCTGAGGATATGCGAAGTGCCCAGGTGAATGGGGGAGGTCCCAGTGTCCTCCGCGCTCCCCCCAACTCCTCCGCGCTTCCTCTGAGCTCCTCCGCGCTCCTCTCCACTCCTTTTGCGCCCCTCCTTCTGCACTCCTCCGCACCGCCTCATCTCCTTCCTCAGTGCGTCCGAGAGGGTACGCGCCGGAGCACGACCCAAGGGAGCAGCACGCCTCAATTCACTCACAGACGAGGCCACCTGATACTCCCTCAGGTGTTGGTGTGAGTGAGCGGGTGCGTGAATGAGTGGGTGAGTGACTGAAGATGATGACGATGGTTGTGATGATGATGATGATGATGATGATGATGATGATGATGATGATGATGATGATGATGATGATGATGATGATGAGTGAATGAGTGGGTGGATAGGTGGGTGACTGAGTGGGCGAGTCAGTGGTGATGATGAGTGTGTGAATGAGTGTGTGCGAGTGGTGACGACGATGTTAATGATAGCGTGTGTGAGTGGGTAGCTGAGTGAGTGGGTGAGTTGGTGAGAGTGAGTGCTCATGGCGCTTGAGTGATTGAGTGAGTGTGCGAAGGGAGGGGAGAGAGAGAGGGAGAGAGAGAGAGAGAGAGAGCGGGGAGAAGGAGCAGAGATCTTGCGCGGAGGGTGTGCAGAGAAAACAAGATCCCACTTTGGATGTGGGGAACAATCCCAAGACGGCCCAATCAGCCCCCGAGAGGGCCCCCAGACGGCCTGCGAGGGCCCCAGGGCGGGTCCTGTAGGATCCAGGTGGATTGCACGGTTCTGGGACTTCGCTCTCCGAGGATGTCTCGGGCGACCGGGACTTCCAGGGTCTCCAGGGTCCCGAGACAGCGCGGTGACGGACCGTGCGGGGAGCTCTTCGGGGGATCTCGAGGTCACCTGCACGGTCTGTCCTTGTGCCGTTTTCGGACCGCCAAGACCTGACCTGCTCCCCTCGTGCCGTTTCCTTCGCGGCACCACGCGAGACGTCCCAGGGGCCCTGCACCGACCCAAGCATGGTGTAGGGGAACAAACAACGACATAAACATGACGACTCGGAGGTCCGCGCGGATTTCGCGGATCCGCGCGGACCTCCGAGTTTTTTTATCTTTATGTCATTGCTGGTTGTCCGAAGGCACGGGCATCCGCGGACCGGGCCGAACTCCTCAAGGTCGGGCCGGCTTCAGAGAGCCCGCCTTCCGCGGAGTCGGGTCGGCATCCCTGCGTGTGCCAGGCCTCTGTGTGGGACAAGCGGTGGCTGGAGAGAATGCGGGTCACGTGTGCAGATTGCCACCCCGTTGACGATTCGTGACCAGGGACTCAGCGAGCACCGACTTGCGCAGAGGCAGGGGGCAACGCAACGGGCAGCCCTGAGGCATTCGCGCGTTCCTCTTTCCTTCGCGAGGGCGGCTGCGGCGAGACACACCCGCCCCCTGCCTTTTGAAAACACTTCTCTGTGCCAGACATTGTGCCGAAGTCTTGCTGATTAAGCTGTTGGGCTGTGCGTTCCCCGAGCCGCTGTGGAAGCTCTTGGGGAAAACTTTGGGGGAGGAAGAGAAAAATAAAGGGAGAGGCAGCTTTACATATACATATATGTATACATATATGTTTTTCGATAGAGAGAGATGGATGTATACATATGTATATATATAGTGAGAGAGAGAGAGAGAGAGAACGAGACAGAGAGAAGGAGAAAGAACAAGAGAGAGACAGAGCATACTAACAGTACTAATACATCTAACAAGGACAGAAACGCCACCAGGGCTCCAAGACGGCTCAGTGTGGCCCAGCACGGTTCCAACCCGAGCCCCCCGGAAACCAACATTTGGTTGAGAAGGTATGGGTGCACTACGCGCCAGAGTCGGTGGCGGGTCTGAGTTCCCATTCTAAAGTTTTCTTTGGAGGCGACGGTTTACAGTCCAGCCTTTGAGCGTTGACGGTACCATATAATCCAAATGGCGGTTGACGGTCCTTATGTTCCAGGTCAAGGGCAATGAGCGAGTGGTTCGGTTATTTAATCGCTTCGCTCATTCCGCCGGCCCTGGAGCGCTATTTGGGGCCTCGTGGGGCCGTCTTGGGGGCTTCTTGGGGGTTTCTTGGGAGCGTCTTGGGGCTCCTTGGCGGCGTATTGGGCTCCCCTGGGGCCTCTTGGGGGGCTCTTGGGGGCCCCTTGGGGCGGGAGGGGGGGTAGTCGTTGGCAGCCCCCCCCTCGGAGGCCACGATCCTCGTCAGAGGTGGCGAAAAATAGCCTCCCCCCTGGGGATCGCCCTGGGGTCAGCCGGAGATCGGCGGGGGTACTTTTCGTCCAGGGCCCCCCAGGGGCCGCCCCGCGCGCGCGAACTAGAAATATTGTTGAGTAGTTACCGGAGATCTTAGCACGCCTCTGGCCCGTCGGGCCGGCGAATTGTTTTTCATTTGGCATATTCGCCGCGGCCCATATCAGCATCTGCCACGATCCTGTGAGGCTCGATGGTTTCTAGAATCTAGGAAGAATTCTGGGACAACAGTGGGACTACAAAGAGGGATGCAGTCATGGATGTCAAATCAGGTGCTGGCGTACAGCACCGTCGTCGCCCTGGCGGCGATCCCGGGCACTACCGTGGTGCTGCAGCCATTTCTGCAGAATTGGTACATGCGGAACGCATGGCCACAATTATGATTTAGTTGATCACGAGCCCTCTGGCGAATTCGCTGAGGTGCTGATACGAAGAATAGAGGTATCGTCTCATTCTCAGCAACCAGATGTGCAACTCAGGTGTTTGGACCGGTCTTAACAAAAGCCACTGCGATGGAAGTCATTGATGTTGCTCCGTTTTGCTTGGACGTTTTTGCGTTGCGACGGTCTCTGATGCTCTTCGGTGCTTAGGTCCACTCTGATAGCTTCCATTGCTTTACGTCAGAGTGCTGTGATTCTTGAGGAGTCAATCCCCGCGCGTTGGTTGTCCATGGCTTGTGTTTTGTATCGATGGCCCTTCACTCGTGACTTGAGCGGCGGAGACATGCTGTAGGAGTCACGTCCAATTCCAATCTACGGCATGGAGCTCGTCGCAGTTTGAAATTGGTGTGGTGTTGAAGGTGTTTTGCCTAGAGGTTGAGACAATTGTTTCCAGCCAAGGGATAACGTATCTTCCCCCCCCTCCCCCCCCGTAGCGGTAACGCCAAGGCCCCGATCCAGCGCGCGATCCGGGCAGCTTAGGTTTCTGGTGCACGTGGGCTTGCAGTATGGTGCAAGCAGGCAGTGCGGTGTGCACGGGCGTTCTGGCGCACGCATCTATCGTTGCAGCAGCAGCCGTGGTGTACGCAGACATAAAGGTGTACGTAAGTATGGTGGTGTACACATCACAGTCCTTGTGGTATACACAGGCGCCGTGGTGTACACAAATGCTGTAGTGCGCAAGGTCGTTACGATGTAAGCGTGCGTTGTGGGCTATAATGGGCGTACGCATATCTTCGCACTTCTTCCTCCTCCTCCTCCTCCCTCTTCCCGTCCGTGCACACAGGCGTTGTGTTTCACATTCGCGGCGGGCTCAAAATGTCCAATCGTACCGGCCAGAAAAACAATTATCACAATCAGATGATAATTTTGGAAATGATATTTTCGCCCCAGCAATGTCCCGGATCCTGGTTCCGTCGGGACCGTGGAGGTGCACGCAAAACTTTCTGGAACACGCAGGCAGTGTGGTGTTCGCAGAAGGGTGCTGAAACAGCATGTGTGGTGTCAAGACCCACAGGCGTTGCAGTGCAGACGGCTGCATGTGGCGCACATCGGCATTGCTGTGTGTATGAAGGTGTTCTCCTGAACACAAGTATCGCAGGCCTAGAGGTTGACACCAACACCAAGATCGGCGGTGTGCGTCCACCGAGGCAGGACGATCCCAATCTCGGTGATGGTGGTGATATTTTGGTTTCCAGGGTGACCGAAGTATTACCACCAACACCGAAATCTAGGATGAGTTTCCCCATGTGGAGGCAACCTCTTGTGCTGGTGTTGGTGCCAATTTCCAGGCCTCCAAGAGTATTGCTGCCATCATGGCTCCCAGAGTGGGAGCCGGCGGGGATTTCCTGTTGCCTTTCCTGCTGCGGCTCCTGCTGCGCCTCCTTCTGCTCGTCCTGCGCCTCCTTCTGCTCTTCCTGCGCTCCTGCTGCTGCTTTTGCTGCTGCTGCTCACGCTGCTCCTCCTGCTGCCTCTCCTGCTGCCCCTCCTGCTGCCCTTGAGTGGGGGAGGGGGGGAGGGGGGGCACATCAGTTAGGAACAATGACGAAGCCCTCCACGAAGGGGAGAAAGGGGAATTGGAAGAGGTTGGATTTTGCCTCTTGGTGCCTTCTGGTCCTCCTGGGGCCCTCTCGTGGCGGCTGTTGGGCCTCCTTGGGGCGTCTTTCAGGGCATCCTGGGCGTCTTTGAGCGCTTGTGCGGTGCCCTGGCGCCATGCCAGCCCATGGACTCCTTTCCGAAGCGTCTACGGACACCGCGCCTCGGCTGGGCGCATTGGTTCCTTCATCTTGCCTCTTCTAGAGCTGTCAGGCTGCTCGAAGGCAGTAGGCCGACATGAGGAGGAGGAGGAGGAGGAGGAGGAGGAGGAGGAGGAGGAGGAGGAGGAGGAGCAGGAGCAGGAGCAGGAGGAGCAGGAGGAGGAGGAGGAGGAGGAGGAGGAGGAGGAGGAGGAGGAGGAACGCGTTGTGCCAGGGGCGAAGGCGTGAATCTCGACGGGCGGCCTCGGAGGGCCCTCCGTGGGCCGCGGGGCCACCAAGAAAAAGGCGGCCCAGGGCGGTCAAGAGCTGACCCAGGAGAAAAGGCGGTGGCGGCGACCCTCCCTCTGCCTCCTCCTCCTCCTCGTCTGCGTCCTCCTCCTCCTCCTCCTCCTCCTCTTCTGCGTCCTCCTCCTTCTCCTCTTCTGCCCTCCTCCTGCTCTTCTTCTGCGTCCTCCTCCTCCTGCTCCTCCTCCTCCTGCTCCTCCTCCTCCTCCTCTTTCTCCTCTTCTGCTGCGTCCTCCTCCTCCTTCTCCATCTCCAGGGTTTCCCCAGGCTCGGGCTGGTCGGGACCCGCTTCCCTCATGACCCGCTTGCTTCATGGCGAGGGCGGGGGAGGGGGAGGGACATTTCGGGGCCCCAAAGGAGAGGCGAGGATTGGACAGGAGAGGGGAGGAGAGGAGAGGAGAGAAGCCAGGAGGTCTGGCATGGCCGCGTCGGTGCCTCGGCTTGTCCGATCTACCCTGCTGCTCTCGTTCCCCCTCCTGTTGGCTCAGCTTTCATGGGTCCTTCTCGGCTCGGAGCAGTGGGCATGGATGTGGAGGGGAGGGAGAGGGGGAGGGAGTAAGGGAGGGAAGGAAGGAGAGAGGGAGAGCGGGAGAGGGAGGCGAAGGAGGGGGGAGGGAAGGAGGGCAGATGTGGGGGCTCTACCCGGGGTGGCTTGCCCAGCCCTTGGGAGGCTTCCCGTTGCTGTTGTCCTGGGCCCCGGGATGTCTTGTAGGCTCCCGGGGAGGTGCTATACGGCACGGGCCCGGGGAGGTGTTCTATGGGTTCCCAAGGCGTTACAGGGGCCTTTGGACGGGTCCAGGAGAGGTGTCCTGCGGACACCCGCCTCGCCCTTGGGGAGTGGCAAGGGGGCGGAGGGGGGAGGAGAGGGGAGTGGATAGAAGGGAGGGGATCGAATGCAGAGGAGTGGGAGAGGAGGGGAGGGGAGGGGCAGAGGAGGGGAGGGGAGGGGAGGGGAGGGGAGCGAGAGGGGAGCGAGAGGGAGGCGAGGGGAGGTGATGGGCCCAGACAGCCCCGTGGTGCAAGGAAGAACCACGGCAGAGGCCTCGTTCCGCTTTCGCCTCCTCCCACCCTCCTGTGCCGGCGGCGCGCACAGGGGGGGAGGCAAGAAAAGGGCCGTGGTTTCCTGAGCCTCCTCCGAAGCCACGCGGCCCCTGAGCCTCCTGGGGGGCTCCTCGGAAGGGCCAGGGGGCTTCTGACAGGCCTTGCCGCCTTCTGAGACGGCGAGGAGGAGGGAGGGAGGGAGGGAGGAGGGGGAGGGGGAGGTGGGAGGGAGGAGAGGGGGGAGGGGGAGGGGAGGGGAGGGGGAGGGGAGGGGGAAGGGGGGAGGGGGAGGGGGAGGGGGATGGGGAGGGGAGGAGGAGGGGAGGAGGAGGAGGAGGAGAGGATGGAGGAGGAGGAGGAGGAGGAGGGGGGTCCTCTTCGCTTCCCAGGACTTCCCCTCCACAAGCGTGGACGCCCGAGAGGTCTGCGCCCCTTTCCCCGCGGTCCGGTGCTTTGTCCCTGTAGTCGTGCTCGGACGGCCCCGTGGGCCCCGTGGGGGCACCGGGAGGCCGTGGGCTGTGACGGACCCGCCGTCGTCATTTTTCCACAGCGGGGGAAGATCTGGGTTTCCCCCTCCTCAGAGATCCAGCGTATTGAAGAATGATCGACCCACGAAGCCGGAAAGGAATATCGAACTTTGACGCATGGCAGCGTTTTCAAAGACACCTGATTCGGCAAAGCCTGAAGCGCCTCAGGCGCTGGCAGATGAATACGGCAAAGCTGGATCTAACGCTGGATCGAAAGTCTCCTGCGCTTGGTACGTGAATCAGACTCAATCGGCCGTCTGGCTCATGATGCACATTCCTACAAGATCTGGGTTTCCCCCTCCCCAGAGATCCAACCGATTGAAAAACCATCCGGGCGAAGGACCCAACCATGAAGCTCCCTATGGGGCAACGAAGCGCTGCACTGGGTGGGGGAACGCTGTACTGAGCGGGTGGTGTGCCAAATTGGGTTTCCTGGACGCATGCGGACGCTCCCACTGAGGGCTTCGGTGGAGCTTCCTATGGGGCCACGAAGCGCTGTAATGGGTGTGTGAATTGCCACATCGGGTTTCGGGGACGCATGCGGACGGTGGCACTGGGGCCTTCGGTGGAGCTCCCTATGGGGCCAAGAAACGTTTTACTGGGTGGGAGGGAATGCCAAATTCAGTTTCCGGGACGCACGCAAACGGTCCCACTGGGCGCTTCAGTGGAGCTCCCTATGGAGCCACGAAGCGCTGTATTGGGCGGGTGAAAATGCCACATTGGGTTTTCGGGACGGCATGCGGACGGTGGCACTGAAGCATTCGGTGGAGCTCCCTATGGGGCCACGAAGCGCTGTACTGGGTGAGTGAAAATGCCACATTGCGTGTTTCGGAACGCCTGCGGACAGTCCCACTGTGGCCGTCGGTGGGGTTCCCTATGGGGCCACGAAGCGCTGTACTGGGTTTGTAAAAATGCCACATTGTGTTTTCGGGGCGCATGCGGACGGCGGCACTGGGGCCTTCGGTGGAGTTCCCTATGGGGCCACGAGACGCTGTACTGTGTTGGCGAAAGTGCCAAATTAGGGATTCCGAAACCCATGCGGACGGTCCCACTGGTGGTTTCGGTGGAGCTTCCTGTGGGGCCAGGAAGCGCTGTACTGGGTGTGCGGGACGCATGCGGGCGGCAGCACGGGGACCTTCGGCGGGGCTCCCTATGGGGCCACGAAGCGCTGTACTGGGTGGGTGAAGCGCAGGGAGCAGGGGGAGGAGGACCACGAAACGCTGTACTGGGTCTGAGGGACGCATGCGGACGGCAGCATTGGGACTTTCGGTGTGGCCCCCTATGCGGCCACGAAGCGCTGTACTGGGTATGTGAAACGCAGGGAGCAGGGGGAGGAGGGCCACGAAACGCCGTACTGGGTGTGCGGGACGCATGCGGCCGGCAGCACTGGGACTTTCGGTGGGGCTCCCTATGGGGCCACGAAGCGCTGTACTGGGTGTGCGGGACGCATGCAGACGGCAGCACTGGGACCTTCGGCGGGGCTCCCTATGGGGCCACGAAGCGCTGTACTGGGTGAGTGAAACGTATGGAAATGGGGGAGGAGGGCCACGAAACGCTGTACTGGGTGTGCGGGACGCATGCGGACGGCAACATTGGGACCTTCGGCGGGGCTCCCTATGGGGCCACGAAGCGCTGTACTGGGTATGTGAAACGCAGGGAGCAGGGGGATGAGGAAGGAGGCGGGAGCAGGGAAGGAGGAGGATGAGGGAGGGCGCGGGGCGCTGTCTCTTCAAAACGAGGACCCAGCACCAAAAGGCTGGTTGGGAATCAAGACGGAGGTTTTTCGCAGAGTTCGGCCCCTAGGGGCCCTCGCCAGGCCTCGGGGCCGTCACAAAATGACTCAGGATGAAAAGCCGGTCCTGGGGATTGGATCGAGATTTCCAGGGACCGTGCATTGAAAAAAATCACGACGTCGGATCTCTGTCAAACGACGCGAAGATCGGGACAAAATCGGATCGGGATAACTCGAACTCTCTGAGAATCGGCGGGTTTGGATGATGTATTGGGCGCCGCGGCCGCTCCAGAGCGTTCCGGAACGCTCTGAGAGCGCTCCGGAACGCTCTGGAGCGATTTATCCCGATCCTAGCCCTGTTTTACTCTGGGTCGGCGCGCCTCCGAATCCGGGTCAGAGGTCCCCCCCCAGGATCTGCTCCGGGGTGCGCTCCCTGTCGTGGCGGATCCAGCCGTGGCAGAGGGCCAGGGAGGATGCGGGCACCGCCACGACACCCCTGGGCCTCGGAGCTCCTCCTCCTCCTCCTCCTCCTCCTTCCTCCTCCTCCTGCTCCTCGCTCTCGCGGCGCCTCCTCCTCCTCCTCCTCCTTCTCCTCCTCCTCCTCCTCCTCCTCCTCCTCCTCCTCGCTCTCGCGGCGCCTCCTCCTCCTCCGCCTCCTCCTTCTCCTCCTCCTCCTCCTCCTCCTCCTCCTCCTCCTCCGCGCTCCGAGCCTCCTCCTCCTCGCGTCTCCTCCTCCTCCTCCCCCCTCCTTCTCCCCTCCTCCTCCTCGCCTCCTCCTCCTGCCTCCTCCTCCTCCTCCTCCTCCTCCTCCTCCTCCTCCTCCTCCTCCTCCTCATCCTCCCCCTCCTCGCTCCTCTTCCTCCTCCTCCTCCTCCTCCTCCTCCTCCTCCTCCTCGCTCTCGCGGCGCTTCCGAGTGGGACAGGGGGGATGCCACCCCGGTGCCCCAGGCCTCCCAAATGGGGTCGAGGCAGAGGTGGTCGGAGGATCCCGCCGGATCGCCGACGTGGCGTCGGTGCGGCTCGGCGCGCGGCCCGATTTTCTGGGCGCCGACGGCGCTGACGCATCGCCGACGTCGCTGATGCACTGCCGAGGTGGCGGCGATGCAGGCGATGCGGCGCCATCCTCCGACCCCATCTGCAGTCAACCCGCATAGTAAGGATGAGCGACTTTCCAGGTCACCCTTGCATCCTTCCCCTTCGGCCCATCCTTGGCTTTTCTCGCTGGTCGTGCCCCGCTTGCAGAGTGTCGGCATGGCCCTCCGAGGCCCTTGCATCCTTGTCGTGCGTCCTTATTATACGTGCTACGGTCGGACCGAGGTAGAAGATTGATGTCGGTTCGGGGATTGTACCCTAGTGTTCTTCGTGTTTGTTGGATGTTCTTGTGCATCCTGGGGGAGGGTACCCTCGAACGGTCTGTGCGTTTTGGCTGGCGGAGGGCCTGCTGTTCTGGAAGGATGTTCTTCTGTCCTAGGTCCAGCCGCACTCGGACCCCATGTGAGAGGCCCCAGACGTCTGGCCGCTCCATTTTTTCGATGCGTTGGCCCCTGAGGCCTGGACCACTGTTCCTCAGGGCCGGTCTTTCGCCCCGAGTCGTTGTCGGACGCTCCCGGGGCCCAGCGAGGGCCCCCAGAGGCCACACACGGCCCCAAGCCGCGGGCCCCGATGTATTTTTGGAGCGCTGGACCTCTGGGGCCCCCCCGCGCCGCGCCCCCGCACCCCGCGCCGATGGCCGACGCGCCCGGCGAGGAGGCGGGCGCCGGGAGCGCGGTGCCGCCGCGGAAGGGCCCCCGGGTGAGCTGGGTCCTGCCGGAGGACGCCTTGCCCGCGGTGGCCGAGGCGCGCGCGCCACCCGCCCCGAGGAGGTGGGGGCGGAGGAGCGGGAGGAGGAAAAGAAGGAGGGGGAGGAAGGGGAGGAGGAGGAGGAGGAGGAGGAGGAGGACGAATAGGAGGAGGAGGAGGACGAATAGGAGGAGGAGGAGAAGGAGGAGGAGGAGGAGGGCCGAAAGGTCCGACGCTCTGACAAACATTATCCTGGCAAAGGTCCCAACCATATGCAGTTGAGGGCACCGTAGTTGTGGATAGCTGCTGCGGTGAAGCTCCCCATGGGGCCACGGAGCGCTGCACTGGGCGGGGGGGAACGCTGTACTGTGTGGGTGGTGTGCCGAATTGGGTTTCCGGGACGCATGCGGACGGTCCCACAGAGGGCTTCGGTGGAGCTCCTGAGTGAGTGAAAATGCTAAATTCGGTTACCGGGACGCATGTGGACGGTCCCATTGGGGGCTTCGGTGGAGCCCCCTATGTGGCCACGAAACGCTGCACTGAGCGGGTGACAATGCCAATTACATTTTCCGGACGCATGCGGACGGTGTCACTGGGGCCTTGGGTGGAGCCCCCGATGGGGCCACGAAGCGCTGCACTGGGTGGGTGAAAATGCCTAATTGGACTTCCGGGACGCATGCGGACGGGGGCACTGGGACCTTCGGTGGGGCTCCCTGTGGGGCCACGAAACGCTGTACTGGGTCTGCGGGACGCATGCGGGCGGCAGCATTGGGACCTTCGGTGTGGCACCCTATTGGGCCACGAAACGTTGTACTGGGTGGGTGAAACGCAGGGAGGAGGGGGAGGAGGGCCAGGTGTGCGGGCATGCGTACGGTAGCACTGGGACCTTCGGTGGAGCTCCCTATGGGGCCACGAAGCGCTGCACTGGGTGTGCGGGACGCATGCGGACGGTAGCACTGGGACCTTCGGTGGAGCTTCCTATCGGGCCACGAAACGCTGTACTGGGTGTGCGGGACGCATGCGGACGGTAGCACTGGGACCTTCGGTGGGGCTCCCCATGGGGCCACGAAACGCTGTACTGGGTGTGCGGGACGCATGCGGAACGGTAGCACCGGGACCTTCGGTGAGGCTCCCTGTTGGGCCGCGAAGCGCTGTACTGGGTGGGTGAAGCGCAGGGAGCAGGGGGAGGAGGGCCACGAAGCGCTGTACTGGGTGTGCGGGACGCATGCGGGCGGTGGAGGAGGAGGGGGAACAGGAGGAGAGAAGGAGAACGCGGGGACCGTCTCTTCAAAACGAGGACCCAACACACCACTGGATGGTTGGGAAACATCGGAGCGGGTGCTTTTCTGCCCGTTTTCGGCCTCTGGGGGGCCCTCGCGGGGCCTCGGAAGCGCCAGACAGCGACGCGGGGCGACAGGCCCGCCCCAGGGACGTGGTCCAGGCCTCGGGGGCCAACGCATCGGAGGAGGGAAGAATAGGAGGAGGAGGAGGAGGAGGAGGAGGAGGAGGAGGAGGAGGAGGAGGAGGAGGAGGAGGAGGAGGAGGAGGGCAACACGATGCTCAGAAGAGATGCTGCAAGACAAAACCTGAAACCTCTCCCCCCCTCCGCCCGAAGGAGCTGGCGCCCGCGGCGCTCGACGAGGGCCCGCCGACGCTGCGGGTGCGCCTCGGCATACCTCGAGTCCAGCGGCGGCGGTGGCGGCCCAGACCGCCGCCCGCTCGGCCTCCTCCCCCTTCTTCCTCCTCTCCTCCCCCTCCCCCTCCCCCTTCTCCTCCTCCTCCTTCTCCTCCTCCCCAGCTGTGACTGACACGCTCCAAAGCGTTCCAGAGCGCTCTCAGAGCGTTCCGGAGCGCTCTGAGAAGGCCGCGGCGCCTGAGAGATCCTCCCGAGCCCCCCGATCTCAAAGACTCTCGATTCGGCCCCACCCGACTGTGTCCTCGTCCTGGCTTCGTCTGACGTGCCTTCCCGCGGAGTCTCCTCCATCCTTCCCGTCCTCCAGAGGAGGGAAGGCAACGATGCCGCTACCCTTTTCTCGTTTTTTCTTTTTGTTTTGTTGTGGCCTCCTGGGAGGCATTCGTCGCCACCGCTGGATTCGCCTCGACGTTCTGGTCAGAACGCGCCCAGGGAGGGGTCCGGGGAGCAGCGGCATCTGTACCTTTTGGTTTCCCCAGTCCTCTCCCGCCGCCCCCCTCCCTCGCTCCTCTCTTTCTTCTTTCCCCCCCACAGGGCTGGACCTGAGCTCTGTTTTGCTGGACTTCGGCTGCGTTCTGTTTTCGCTTTGGGAGGGAGTTGCAGGAAAACGGGTGGAGCAAAACGACCTACAGCACGAACACATGACGAGAAACAGCGTTTAGGTCCAGCCCTGTCCACCCACACTCACAGGGCCGTTTGCCCCTGACCCCCACCACTGATCTTTTGTCCAGAGGCTTGCGCCCTTCCGCCGACCCCCAGAAAAAGAAGGGTAGGTGTGCGGCTTAAGACGTCGTGTGTGCTGCCTTCCGCTTCCCGTCGTGCTGCCTTCGCGTGGAGGCTCTGAGCGAGAGCCGTGGGAGGACGGGAAACATGCGGGGAGGTTGGGAATCAGAAGGGGAAAGAACACACAGACACAATTCGTCGTCGACTCCCAGGAAAACATGGGAACATATGGAAAGTTGGGGGGGGAAGACGAAAACCCCGAGCATACGATGAGACATGCGAAATCCTGAGACTCGTGTCTGCTTGTTCGTGTGTCCCAGGGCCCCTCTGGGGAAATAATGCTCGGGGGTGCAGGCTGGCGAGGTGGAGGGGACGGGGGGGGAGGGGGGGGTGGGCGCAGCTTTGGAAAGGGGGGAGGGGGGAGAAGGGACGGGCTCCGGACGACGGCCGGGGCGCGGCGAGTTGGGCCCCCCCCCACGGCCCGGGTCGACGGGGCGCGTCTCGGGGATGGTCCCCCTTGTCCACGCGAGCTGCGCTGCTGCACCTGGAGGGGAGCTGACCTCACAGTCCGCAAGTGACTCCTCCTCCTCCTCCTCCTCCTCCTCCTCCTCCTCCTCCTCCTCATCCGCCTCCCCCTCCTCCTCCTCCTCCTCCTCCTCCTCCTTCTCCTCTTCCTCCTCCTCCCCTCCTCCTCCTCCTCCTCCCCTCCTTCCTCCTCCTCCTCCTCCTCCCTCCTCCTCCTCCTCCTCCCTCCTCCTCCTTCCTCCTCCTCCTCCCCCTCCTCCTCCTCCTCCTCCCCTCCTCCTCCTCCTCCTCCTCCTCCTCCTCCTCCTCATCCTCCTCCTCCTCCTCCTCCCCCCTCCCTCCTCCTCCTCCTCCTCCCTCCTCCTCCTCCTCCTCCTCCTCCTCCTCCTCCTTCCTCCTCCTCCTCCCCCTCCTCCTGTTCCTCCCTCCTCCCCCTCCTCCTCCCTTTTCCCTCCTCCCCTCCTCCTTCTCCTCCCTCCTCCTCCTCCTCCTCCTCCTCTCTCCTCCTCTCCTCCTCCTCCTCCTCCTCCTCCTCCCTCGTCCTCCCTCCTCCTCCTCCTCCTCCTCCTCCTCCTCCTCTTCCCCCTCCTCGTCCTCTCCCGCAAGTGAACCACACTTCGCAGGGGGGGTCGGGGGGATGAGGGGGGGGCACAGCGCGCCTCGGCTCGGCTGGTCGAGAGGCCCAGGTGCAGCCTCGATCGTGAAGCCGGGGCTGGGAGCGTCCACGGGGAGTGAAACAATAGAACGAGCCTTCCCCCCCTCCTCCTCATCCTCCCTCCCTACCTCTCTCCCTCCCTCCTTCCCTCCCTCCCTCCCTCCGTCTCTCCGTTCCTCCCTCCCTCCTCCCCCTCCTCCTTCTTCTCCTACCTCTTCTCCTGTACGTCCTTCTCCTCCTCCTCCTCCTCCTCCTCCTCGTCCTCCTTCTCCTCCTCCTCGTCATCCCCCTCGTTATTCTCCTCGCCCTCCTCCTCCTCCTTCTTCTCCTCGTCCTCCTCCTCCTCCTCTGCTCTGTACGCTCGGAATTGGTTCGGAAATAATGGCTACGAATACCGACAGCAGTTCTTGTCTATTTGGGACAGGGTTCGCTGTCGGCGTCGCTGCGGGCGCCGTCCACTTCAGACAGAAGGTCGCATGCCAAACGGCTGCCGCTGTCGGTTTTGGACAACATTTGTTGTTGGGCATTGTGCCCATTCTGTCCGTATCCATTTCGGGCGTTCAAATTTGCGCTGGTCCACCTCCCAGCCCTGAGCCCCGCCTATCTAGGCCTCCCAGATAGTTTCCGAGTAGATGGGGTCGGAGGATCGCGCTCGGCGAGGCGTCTCGAATCGGAGCTCGGTGCTCTCCACGCCGACGTCGCTGATGCATCGCCGACGTCGCCGATGCATCGCCAATGTATCGCCGATGCGACGCGACCCTCCGACCCCATCTATTCGCACCCCATCTAGGAGGCCTCTAGCCTCGGGCTGCCCCTCGGCCGGCTGTCGACCAGCCCGGTCCAGCCACCAGGCTCGACAGGAGGCAGGCCGCAGCATGCCGGCCGTCCCTCCCGCCGCTGGACTCCGGGCATCCTGCGCGTGGGCAACACGTACGGCACCGAGGCTCGCCGTGGGCATCGGGGCGGGGGGACCTGCAGCCACCACCAGAGTTGTGGAGGACTCGGGGGTGGACAGAACCGCCAACAGTGACACGTCGATTAGTGAATTGTCCGTTTTCGGTTCTCGAGAGGGCGCCGTGGCCGTTATTTTCCAGGCTTGCGCCCGCCAGGTTTGGGTCCGAGGTCGTTTTCACTAAACCACGTTTTTCTAAAGGGAGGTCTGTCCATCCCCAAAGGACGATCAAGGGAGAGGAACCATGTTACCATGTTGCCACATACTTTCCAGATGTCTAAAACATGTGTTAAACATGCTTTAAACATGTAACACAACATGCTCAAAGCATGTTCAGAGCATGCTTCCGACGTGTTAATTACGGTGTGCATTCAGTGATAGGACTGTCAGGGCGTCCACTGTCGCGGCATCCACAACACCAGAGGGCGGCAGCTGCCTCCCCCGCGGCGTAGGCCGTGCCCTCCCGCCGTGCGGCTGCTCTTCACGGAGGTGGCTCTGGCCCAGGGGCGGACCTAAACGGTGCTTTGGCGATTTCGGGGGCCGTTTTCGTTCCGATTCCCTTTTGCGTGCAAGGCCGATTGAAGGCAACACGAGAGGAAAAGTAAACCAAACGATACCGAAGCAACACCGATTGGGTTGAGCCCTGCTCTGGCCCAGGGTTCTCTGTCAGCTTGCGGGCCAGAAGGCCCATAGCAGGCGTCGGGAGGCGGCACGCAGGAATGCGTCTGCGGAGGGGGGTGGTCTCCCACGTGGGGCGTTCGGCACGCGTGCCTTCGGCACGTGTGTGTGTGTGTGTGTGTGTGTGTGCGTGTGTGTGTGTGTGTTTTTGTACATCAGTGTCTGGCCACGACGAGGGCCGCAGGCGAGGGACCCAACTCAGCCCTCTGGATTCTTGACACGCAAACGTACTCAGGGCGGGTTTCCCCTCACAGCTGCTAATCGAATGCACCGCCATTTTCTCGTCCCGCTGATGGCCCACAACTTCCCCACTAATGGCCTGTGCATGCCCCGCTAATGAAGCACCAATGGCCCCACGAATGGCCCCACTAATGGCCCACGAATAAATTTGGCTCGCTAATGGCCATTAATGATTTCGCCTCAATAAGCACCAGCTAATGGCCCACTAATATCGTGTACTGACTTTTGACACTGATGGCCCACTAATGATCTTTGAATGGCACGCTTCTCATCTTTCTTTCGGGTTGTCGCGATTTCAGAGACCAGTAATTCCAAAGCAGGCGGGCATCAGCGTGCCATCAGCCAGGTCCGAAGGTACCGTGAGGCAGCGCCCATCATGAACACACAGTGCCGTTTTTAATACATGCTCCGCGTGTGGGCCATGTATTAAAAGTAACAGGTTGATTAATACATACAAGGATGAGTTTATGCATTCATTTATTCATACATTTATTCATCTATCCAAAACCACTTGAACAAAACTATGTATTAAAAGCTGCCCTGTGTGTGCGCGGAGAGGGGGAGCCCGCCGTGCGCCCGGCGCGTGCCCGCGGGGCACGCATGTCCACATGCCTGCGGCCCCCCCAGCGAGAGACCCAACTCTGCTGGTGGATTCGTTGCACGTAACACTTGGCATCGCTCGGACGTGTGCATTTTTTCTCGGCGAGAAGCATCGAGGACCATCCTGGACCATCGAGCAAAAACAATCACGCACGAGGTCGAACAATGCACGGGAACTGGACGTCCGAGCGACGGTAAGAACAATACAGTGCCGTTTTTAGTACATGCTCCGCGTGCGGATTATGTATTAAATATGCAGGGTTTTAGTACTAATAACGACGATGCATGCATGCATTACTTTCTGCACACATCGATCATGTATTAAGACTCCTATGTTTTTAAACATCCCATGTATAAAAAAATCTGTCCTGTACGTGCGCGGGAACTCAACATGCGCGCCCGCCGCGGGCGCGCGGGGCAAGCATTGTCGCGTGTCCACGGCTCCCGTACAGCAAGTAGTCTGGAGAAGAACCAAACCGTGTGCAGCTGCGGGTAACGTAGGATATGACCACCTCATTCTCGGCAGCGCTCCGCGAGAGGGATGGAACACGGGGCAACGCGGATGGGAACCCCGAAACGTGTGCGGGGTGTGCTGGAGTGGGCTAGGGGACGCAT